GGGGTCAACACCTGAAACTGGACTGAACCATAAACAAAACTGAAATTGGCTTTCTAAATATTGCTATTCAACAAAAAAGGCAAAGAGAAAATTAGCTAAGACTACTTATCTTTATTAGAGTATAACAATTCCCCCCCTCAATTACTTCATAATAACTTCCTTTTTCTTTTGTCACTTTCCACTATGATTTCAATCAATTCAAATGCAGTGATCCAAACTACACATTAAAAAAAAATGTGTGTCCATTGGTCATTCCCCCAATGTTCCTTTTGACATAAAGATTATTTTACAGAGCAGAATGTTATTTTGCTTATTTGAACATAAAAAGGGCATGCATATTTCTTCTTCATACCCTCACATATGCCAGAGTTTTCTGTCTTACTGAGGACCAAAGGTGAAGGCAGTAGTATTTTTGACAGGCTCCAAGGAACCTCTTTGCAGCAGAGATGCTCAGCAAAGTTATTCTGTCAGCAGCCAGGCTGCAGCACAAGCTGTGAGCAGCAGCTCCAGTCAATGCTGTAGGCCAGTGTGTATTCAGACAGGAGAAATCCTCTCTTCCCTGGTTTTGGTGATATAATGTTCACCTCTTTCTCCTGAACTCTGAAAGGGATTTGTTCTTTCTTTTTTCATCTGCCACCACAAAAGTGGTTTACGTGTCTGTGAGCAAAAGCAGTCAGTTCACATGAATCGGGTGCTCTCTGGGATTAAATGGGGCTTAAAGGTATCCAAGTGTGAGCCTAAGACTCTGGAGTTATGAATGAACGCCAGCTGCCAGAGACAATGCTTACAATGCTTCCTGCCTGATCTGGGAGCAGGGAACTGGGCAGGTTGTACTCAGATGCCTCCTGAAAAACCAAGTGGAAAGTTCCTTTAGGTCACTCTACAGCAGGATCAGCACCACCAATCCCCATAGAAGAAACTGGGATTAGGGCTGGAATATGTTAACTTAAATATCCACATACTGGTCTAGCTCACTGACACAGGCATGGCCTGAAAGTCTCTAAACTGATCATATCAGAATGGCATTCACTTCACACTCCTCATCGTGATAAAGCCCAGAGCAAGGCTGGGAAGACAAGAGCACACATCATCATTCCTGTCACAAGAAACTTTCATACAAGTTCAGTTGCATCTAAATTACATGCCAGGTATAAGCAACCACTTCAAGGGCCAGGATTTACCTGCTCAAACTGATTAGCTGGTAAACACATTCTAATCCTCATCTGGACACCTCCTTACATGACTGGCACACCAGCACAGCTGGAATCCAAGGATTCATTCCACAAATTTGTTCTCCTGTAACAAAACCATAGCTACCTGGCCTCAAATACTGGAGACAGCCTTGCATATGGGGCTCACAGTGACTTCAGTGTGTTCCTTCCTCTTGAAGGAATGGGTGAATGTTGCCTGTAAACACTGTTAATTACTGAGAACTAGAGCAGTCAAGAACTGGTGCTAAGTAAGAGAGGTAAAAAAATTTCCAACTTCTTTGAAGATTTGCCAGTAAAGCTTGACAATTTAAAGCATTCCCCTTTGTTCTTCTCCCTTTATCACAGGCTCATGGGAAAAAGAAAAAAAAAAAAAAGATGAAGAGAAAAGAGAAGAAAAAGATTTAACAGACAGAAGAATCCCCTTCTGTATTCCCTTCATCTTCCAAACAACTGGTACTGTTTCTCCAGATCTCCTTCTCAAAATCTTCATGCAATTCAATCTCCTATCTGAAGCAATTTCTGAAGATGCTCGTTCCTACTACCACAGCTCATTGTAACTTAGTGATTTCCAACCCCTGCTCCAGAGGGCTGAGAGGTGGATGACGGGCTGAGAATGTGCTGTGCCTTGACAGCAGTTCCACAGGGAACCACAGCCTCAATCTCTGTTGCTTATTGTCATTTTGTCCAACTTCAACTTCCTTTGATTTCACAAAGAATAAGCAAGTTACAGGGGATTATTCCAGGTGTTCTTACCATAATTCTTGCATGTTTTTGCTTTGGTTTTTTTTTTTTTTAAAAAACCCCCACAGGCAAGTTTCTAATTGCTACTTAGGCAATTGTGCAGTGAGGTCACCATATCCAGACTACAAGTGGGCTAAGAGGCTCAAGTGATACAGGCTTTATGTGATCTCTCCTTCGCTGTTAAATTAAACACAGAGCAGGAGTGTCCATACAATAACTAACCGTAAGAGGAAGCATCTAACACACTTCAACATAAAGTGGTCATTTATATTCCTTGCTCACAGGAGATTTGAGAGACGAATTCATGAAGAACTCCTGTTTTACTAACCCTCAATTCTCTGCCCTTAGTCACTACTTCCTAAGACTACCTATAGCTGTGAAGATTGGGGAAGGACTAAACAATAAGACTTTACTAGAAATGGTGATTACAATAGCACCAGGGTTGGTTGGTTTCTTTCTCTCCTCTCCCCCACAATAAACCTGAATATTAATATTTCCTTTCCAACAGCATTCATGGAAATGTAGATACATGCTATAACTAATTTCAAGAAGTGAAGGCAATAAATTAAACTATCAGCAGACAGATTAGTTTAGGAAGAGAAATTTTCCTTAGGCACAATAAAACTTCTGATTTACCCAAGTGAAATATGGCAAGTCAGTCAAAGAACAGCCTGTTCAATCAGAGTTCTTTATCTCTTTAGTGGAACCAACCAAGTACAAACAAAACCAATAAAAACCAGTGACAAAGATGCAAGTTAATGACACCAGAAATTATACAATTCCCTTTTTTCACCTTATCTTGAAAGTCAGAACTTGCTGTGATGCACTTGACTGACTTCCAAGACATGGAACTATAGGATGTGCACCACAAGGCAGCCTTACTTCAGAGAATCACAGACTGTTGGGGTTGGAAGGGACCTTAAAGAACATCCAATTCCAGCCCCCTGCCATGAGCAGGGACACCTTCCACTATCCCAGCTTGCTCAGAGCCCCATCCAACCTTGAACATTGCCAGAGATGGGGCAGCCACAGTTTCTCTGGGCAATGTGTGCCAGGGCCTCACCACCCTTATAGGGACAGTTTCTTCCTCATATCCAAACTAAACCTCCCCTCTGTCACTTTGGAGCCATTGCCCCTTGTCACTGCAGGCCATTGTCAATAGTCTCTCTCCATCTTTCCTGTGTGTTCCCTTCAGGCACTGCAAGGCCACAATAAAGTCATCCCAAAACCTTCTCTTCTCCAGGCTGACCAATCCCAGTTCTCCCAGCCTTTTAAACTGCCTTGCTAAGTCTCACAAAGAGTATTTGCTACACCGGCGTCTGATAAGCCACAGCCATTACTCCACTGAATGGGAATGTGCTTTAACAGCTGCCCGTTACCTGTCTGTACCAGCCATGGCTCTCACTCCTGAATGCATCCCACATCCCAGAGAGAACCTCAGAACACAAAATTCCCTTATAGTTCCAGATTTTACACCTTGTTAAATTAGGCTTTTAATTACTGTTAAACAGGCTTCATTCTACATATCTAGTTGCTACTGTTTGTAGAAACAGGTACTCCCACTAAATCCTTACCTTGTGATTAAATTTGTTCTCCTTTCCTGCTCTGTGAACACCACAGAGCACAGAACGGAGCAATCTTTAACTTCAGCTGCTGTTTCTGTTGTAAGAAACAACCGTCTTTAAACAATGCAGTGCAATGCTTTTGTCTGGGGAGCTACTAATATAAGCTTTCCTCTTCATACAGGACTCAGTAGGCTAAAAATTAGTGACATTTTAAGTGGAACAATTCTTTCATCATCAGGCTGATATTTGGCTGCCATTCTGGTTACCTCCCTTATAAGGCACCAGCAAGAGGGAAGGGCAGGGAACACATTATGCAACTGCTCATTGTAAAAAGTAATTAAAACAAATTTTAAGAAACGTCTGTAATAAACACTCTTCCAATCTACAAAAGGCAAAAGGAGCCTGATGCCATTGGTCTAAGGTCTGTCATTTCTACTGGGCTAACCTGGGAAAAGGGAATTTCTCCTGAAAAAAAGGTTTTCCTCAGTTTTTATGGGAAACAGTGGAACACTGAAGCCTGTGAACTGCCCCCGTCTTCTCCAGAGTCTGGTTCAAATCTAGCCAATCAGCCAAAGAGGCAGCTCTGCCCTGGGTAATGAAGGGGCAACACTGGGACACCTGCATCCTGTCCCCTCCTCTGTGGGCAGGTGTGATCCATGGAAATCTAAGACATCTAGTCCCAAGTAAAGGGTAAAGGGTTTTGTGGTGAGGCCATCCACATCTTGGCTGGTTTGTACAAAACAGCCCTCCTGCAGACAAGGAAATATCCTTTGGAATTTAACAGTTCAGATCTAAGTAGGTTTTCACCAGTAAAATCATAAAAACACTTAGACTTTTTACCCACAGAACAGACTCAAGAGTCTCCAGAGTGGCAGTGATCTGGCACTTTGGGGGGTTTCTCAGTGATCCTGGAGGAAGCTCACGGCACAGCACAAGCATGCCAAGAAGCTGTCTCTTTCTCTGTTGCAACAGGGACATGGAGCCTGTACCACCAGCAGAGCCCCCTAAGCACACACAGATTCCCACTTGTGACAAGCTGCTCCTGTCAAGCCCCTTTGCTTTGCTGTTTCTGCCTTCAGTAGCCATTCAGGGTAGTCAGGTGTGCTACTGAAGTGATGACTTTCATTCCCTCCTCATCCCTTGGCTATGGGAATGGAAGTTATGATTACTGCCCCTTCCGTACATTCCTGTGTACAGAATCTGAGTGTCCTATGGTTTGGTGTGACCCAGTATCTTCATTTTAACTGCAACCAACTGATGCACAACTGTGTTTCTCATAAGCATTATTCTACTACAGTGGCTCATAAAAAGGACCTTCAACCCAGTACAGCTTTCTGTTTTCAGCCAAGTTTTCCAAGGGTTTGTCTGTGGGATGGCTGGGTGGGTTTTGTTTTCCTACCAGGAGATTTAATTGCTAAAATACCTTGGCACATTTTATAAATGCAGTACTTTATAAATGTGACATTACACACAGTGCTCTCAGAATTGTAAACAGCTCTCTTTATTACACAGAGTAGAAAAAGGTTTCACAACCTTTCATCTGATCAAAGACAAGAAAAATTTTGTTTCCCCTTCTGTGGAAGGAAATTTAACACACTCCAATATGCCAAGGTCTTTGTTAAGACTGGAGCTCCTCTACAGCATATCAGTGATCACAGGCTCAAACTCTGGAACATAAGAGACATAGCTAATATAAGTTGCAATACAGTAAACACTCTTCCTCTCCCACACAGATTCGAGTTATCACTTTAATTCCTCCCTCCCATTCATTCTGTCACCTTTGATAAACTCCATTTGTTCACACAACCTGCACACACCAAACTATTACTTCATCATGGCTGTTCCCTGTTACTAAAAGGTGAATAGTTGATTCCCTTTTTACTACTTCAGGACATTCTCACTCTTGTGAAATCCCATAAACCCAGGCTACCATTTTAATCAACTACTGCTTTTTTTACTAATAAAAACATAAAAGACAATCCTTGTTCCTTAGACAATCAAAATCCCACAGAAGTAGTCTTCCAAATTCTAGGTCTCTTTTTTTTACATTCTGATCAATTGTAACTCTCATGAAACCATGGGTCAGCTAACAAATTTGCAAGTCTGTAGGTATAAATATTAAAGACGCACAACACAAACAAAGTTTCAGGTCTACAGTACAAACCAGAACACAAAATCCAACATTTACATTACCAAGAAATCAGAAAATCAGCTACTTGAAGCAGAAAAATTTATATTATTTCCTGATCTGCCATTTTCTTTTGCTTTTTTAATATGTAAGAAGTATTAAATGAGGTATTAGTGCATGCCTTACAAGATTACCTGATTTCACAAGTAAGACAGTGTTAACTATGACAGCTGCCCATTTTAATGCTTTCCATACCACATACTTCCCATACTAATGCTTCAAATTACTTATGACAAGGAAATTCAGTTTTTCTTTATCATTATTTCTTCCCCTAATTCCTGTTTTGTTTTCTGTTGTTAAGAGGAAAATGTTCTATTATTTCCCCATGCAAATACTGGAGCAGTGGGACTGCCAGAAGTTATTCTGTAACTTTAAACTACAGACTTGCAGCATCTTCTGTACCAATCAAATTATAAAGTCTGCTCTGCTGCATTTAACAACTAACTTCTGAGTCTTCAAGACGAGACTCGGTGACCTTAAATACAGTTCACTATTTAAATTCATAACACGAAATAAATAACTCTTCCCTGAGTTCCTCCCCCACAATACTAAATTGGCTTACCCTAGTATAACAATTTTTTGCACAACAAAAACTACTATTTAATCACCAGACTTGGAAAAATTCTGCACCGACCCATCTCAAAAATTAGACTCCAGTTATTTATCAAACCCATATTTTCAAGCCACAGCAATGCAATTACCACTAGTGGCAGGTCTCCTCTAAGTGCAGCTATATGTTGAAACGAGCCACAAGAGGAGATGAAATTATTTTGTGGACAATTGTGTGTTTGATTTATGTCAACTGCCATTACCCTAAGACACAAAGCCTCTTTCTGGGAGACTAAAAGCAAACCATTTACCATATAATATCAGCTAAGCAGGCTTTGTGCTGATGAATACTGCATTCAGAGAAGCAATTATTTTCATTGCAATTTCCATATCTACCCTCCACCTCCTGGAATACAAATATTAAAGTTTATCAACTGGCTTCACATTTTAACTAACACTCACCTTAAACTTGGTGGGAAAAACAACATTTTTATTGGAATAAACATGGACTGAGCAAAAGCTGAATCTGTAGGGAGGACATAAGCTTTGAAAGCAAGACAAAACTACTGCCTAGACAGATCCAGAGGACAGAGACAGTGACTAAGCTCCTTGCGGTCACCACAGGCTTCAAGAGCCATCCCAAAGCCATCCCAAACTACAGTAGTAACCTAAATGATTAAAAAAAAACTCCTACCCATCATTCAAAGTTTGGGGACAAAAAGACAGATGAGCCAAGGGAGGCTTCACAGAATTCCTGAGAAAGAACACGTGAGCACATCTCAGCCACATGTACTGAACTCCAGTGTGACATGCCACATTGTTCCAACCCAGGAGAGTCCCACCAGGAACTCCACTGTAGATTCAAGGTCAGCTCACACAAGCAAGTCCACAACAGATCATCTGACAGAAACCCAAAATTTCTGTTCTCCTGGGAACATTCCCTCACCAAGACCACAGGCCCGGCCCAAGTCCACTGCAAGTTAATGACGGGGTGTGCATTTGCTGGTTTTTTTGTTTTTTTTTTTAAGACAGACTAACTTCCTGAAAAAAAAAGGGCAGAAAGAAATAAAGCACGATACCTGTCCTCTGTAAATATTTGCTTCAGAATACAGCATAGCTAGTGGCTTGGGATTTGTTTTCCCCTGAAATGTTTGAGAAATAAGTGTTTAGGATTTTTTTAAGCTCTGTTAAGCAAAAATATTTAAATTGGACATACAGTATGCCATGTACATTATGAAAAATAAATGAGTTCACAGAACTATGCAAATTTGACTTTTCCTATCCAAGACACTTTTTAACAAGGCCAGGGAAACATGTCTACATATGGTACAGAAGGTAAAACTGCAGCAGTTCTATTGGATACAATAACAGATTTCTCAAATGCAATGAGGGTGCCTGCTGATCATCACCTCTCAGGTCAGTAGCCTGTGGGCTCCTATTTCTTTTCACTCTTCAGAGCAAAATTAGAAGCGGATATTCTTTCATTCCTGAAGGATAAAGAATGAAAACAATTTTCAGATTCCTGCATATATTCAGGCATCTTTTATGGAGCAGGCACAACTCTAGCGATATTTATTAGCGTCATAAACACGATCCCTCTGTTTTAAGTGACTTTAAAAAACTGTAATCAAAACACTCAATCAGTATACCTGATAAAACCCAACATCTACAGTCAACAAAAACGCCACTGCTCTCCAAAAAGAAGGTAAAAGCAAAACCAATACATCCCACCAAATATCTTACAGTAAACGTCTCTTAAAAAAAAACAAGCAAGCAAACAAAAACAAACAGAAAAAGAAACGTCAGCATTGCTTTTGATTCAGAGGCTACAGCAAGGCTCACTTATTCCCAGTCTGGATTTTGCAAGAGGAAGCCAGGTACATCAGCGGAGGCACGCGTGTGAACTCTGCTATTCTAACCCAAGGCGTTCCAGTTCAAGTAAAATCAAACAACAACTGCGCGACCTCTGCAAGCTCCTAGCATTTAACTTACACCCGAGTCAATGAGAATTGTCTAAAGACAAAGAGCACGAGCCGGACAGCCAAACCACGGGGGCCTGAATCTCGAACTCCTCCGGCTTGGCAGGTTTGGGATTTGCTCCTCCCGCGAGTGGAAACTTGTGAAGGTTGTTTGCTTTTCTAAGCGCGTTACGGAGATAATTTCGTCCCTTTACTTAGTTATTTCTAAAGAGGGCAGGACACCCTTAAGCCCAGAGCTACGTTCCGTAGCACGAGTACAGCCCAACCCTGACCCTGCCGGCGGGATCTCCGCACAGCCCCGGCCCTGCTCCCCGCGTCGGGCTCACCTCTGTCTCCGCACCGACGCACCCGGGGGCACCCCAGCCTCCCAGCCGGCGGCAGGGGGACAAGCCACCCCGGAGGCTGCGGGACGAGTCACCCGAGGGGCAGGCAGGCGAACTGCCCCGCGGCCCAGAGCCAACCCCGATCGTCCCCACAGCCGAGGCTAAGGCTGCGCTCCCACAGCCGCCACGACGATGGCTGCTCCTGCTGCCTCACGGTGGAGGAAAGAGTTAGGAAGCAGGGGGAGATTTCCAATTTCCAGCGGCAGCGTGCCGGGGCTGTTTCCGCGGGCAGCGCCGGGATAGAGGGTGCCCGGCTCCCCTCAGGACCCGGCTCGCCGCAGAACTCACCTCCCACCAGCTCCGAGCGCGCCGCCGCCCCCGCGCTAATGGCAGCGGGCGGGCCCGCGGAGGGGGCCGATGTTTACCCGCTGGCTCTCGCGAGAGCCACGCGCCGCCGAGCCCCACTCCGCCATTGGTCGTGCCCGCCGGCGCGCACCGCCCGCGCCGCCCCTGCCCGCCCCGCCCCGCCCCGTCCCGAGGCAGCGGCGGCGGCGGCGGCGTCTCGGGTCGGGGCCGGTGGGGAAGGGGGCGTAGGGGCTTTCGCAGCTGCTTCGCTGCTCCAGCTGGGCCATTCCTGAGAACACCGCATAGGATTGTGTCCAGACGGTTCTGGAATATCCCCAGCGAGGGAGACTCGCCATGCTCTCCGGACTCGGTCACTGCACAGGACAGAAGTTCTATCTCCTGCCCAGGTGGAACCTCCTGGGATCAGTCCCTGCCCTTTCCTCAGGTGCCATTGCAGGGCCCCTAGAGCAGAATCTGGGCCCTGCTCAGAGCCCTCCCTACAGACAAGGACACCCAGGGCTGAGGACTCTTCTTAGCTGTGGCTTCTCTCGAGGTTGGAGAGCCCCAGCTCCCTCAGCCTTTCCCTGCCAGAGATGCTCCAGGCCCTAAATCATCTCTGCATCCTCCACTGGCCCCACTCCAGGAGCTCCATGTCCCTGCTGTCCTGAAGAGCCCAGGACTGGACACAGCACTCCAGATGTGTCACACAGGGCTGGGCAGAGGGGCAGGATGATCTCCCTCTACCTGCAATCCATGCTCTTCCCAATGCATCCCATGATCCTGTCCCTCCAGCCCAGCATAAATCTTGGCACTCAGCAAGCTCTGCTAGTGGGGACTCACTGAAGCCTCGTGGCTGTGACAGGTCTCACATTCAGGTGTTAGGCTGGCCTCAGCTATGCAGAAAGCAAAACTGTGAGCTCACATTGGAGGAGTGACAAAGGACAATCATCTGCTCTAATCAAGACATGGAACGTGTGGAAGTGAGGGAAAGTTTGTCTTGATGTCATCACTTGACTTGAGGAGAGTTGCTGATGAGGACTTAACTGACATATTCGATTTATTTTACCTTGTTAGTCTTAATGTAGAAATAAGGAACTTAGAAGTTCTGTGCACTAAAGCAGATTTTGTGCCCAGAGACCTCACAGTTTCAGGATCTACAGGCAGACCCAGAGAATCTACCATGGACCTCCCAGAGCACTATGAACCTACCTGCTTGGTAGGTTTGAAATAACAGAAGCCTAAGTTTAGCATGTTTTAACTTGAATGAGGTGCAGGAGTGCTTCCTGAAGAGACTGACTGTCCTTTGGGACATCTGAACTCCAGTCCTTTGGTTGTGTTCGAGGGTCCCAGGACAACGGAAGAAATGAGAATCTTGACTCCATGTTTCAGAAGGCTGATTTATTATAGTATGATATTATACAAAAAAAAATAGAGAGAAAGGAATCCTTCAGAAGGCAGGAAAGGAAAGGAAAGGAAAGGAAAGGAAAGGAAAGGAAAGGAAAGGAAAGGAAAGGAAAGATCTTGGGACTGCTCACAGCCTCAACACAGGAGGCTGCCATTGGTCATCAAGTAAAAACAATTTCACATGCTGGGTAAATAGTTCTCCAAATCACATTCCAAAGCAGCAAAACATGGAGAAGTTGAAGTTTCCCAGCTTCTCAGGCAAAAAGATCCTGGCAAAAGGATCCTGGCAAAAGGATTTTTCATAAAATATGTCTGTGACAGGTCCCATGTTTGAAACCTAAGCTAATGAAGTTGTGCACTCACATTCACCATGTTGGAAGTACGGACACATAACCCAGAAACAGAATTAGCAAGAAGGGAAAAGGCACTCTACAGGAAATAAATTCAAAATAAACTGGTTATGGATCTAGAAAAGAAGTATTTCACTAAAGTTCTCTTCCCAGACCAGAAGTCTTTAAAAAACTGTGTCAGTAACAGTGGTCAGTGGGAGTGACAGACATCCCTACCCCTTAGCAGGAATGAGGACTGGTTTTGACTGGGGATTTTGGGTGTTTCTGAGTTGTAAGCTTTGCTTTCAGTACCTTACTCCTGTCTGCTCCCCAAAGCTGCCAGTGGGAAGTTGGGGGAGGCTAGGTCAGTCTGGGAGAGATGCTGAGGCCCAGCTGTGAAAATGGAATGAATATTCACAACGTGACATTCCAGTTCCTGCCTTGCTGCCAGTGCTCCTCTGGTGGGTCCTGCCAGCACAGCAGATGGCAACACTGAAAGGCTGTTGTGCCAGCGGAAAATTACTGAGTTTTGTTGGTCCTGTGCATGTATGTGGATGTATGAGGGGGGAAGTGGGGCAAACTTCAATTTATTTAATTATTTTCAAGAGAGAAGGGGAAACAAATGGCTACCTAAGACTAAAAAAATTACTGGCATATAAAGAACCAGTGTCTTGTTTTAGAGGAATGAGGCATGTCTGTTTGCATTTCGAGTTTTCTGTATGATTCCATATAACTTTCCTCATAAGTCAGGATTGTGAATTTTTCTAAATAAAAGTGCAATTAAAAAGAGAAACAGTATATTAATAAAAGCACTAGCTGTTGCTTAACAGACCTATGGAAAAGCTAAGTATTTCATGTTTCTATTTTTATGTGGCTGTAAAAGTATTTATGTTAGCAGATGTGACATCGCAAAACATACATGGTTTATTTTAATTTTCTAATTTTAAATATATGTTTTTAACAGAGCTGTACACATAGAAGGTTATCTCACTGCTATAAAAGTGTGATTAGCGGGTTCACCACTGTCGCAATTGAAGTTAGTGGGCTGGTGCCTTGTGAATATTGGAGCTTGTCCATAGTTTTTGAAGGTTTGCACACCTAAAGAAACTACAACAAATGCTCATCCTGAAATGAACCATGGTAGAGCAAGCAGGTGAATTTGTTTGTTGTTGAAGGAGAGCTGACAGAAATACCTAAGGTTTTAACCCAAACTGTGACACACTGTAACCATTAGCAACAGCCCAATAAATTTTTGTTTCTGTATGTTTCCAGAGTTAGCCCATAATATAAAAATACAAGTGCCTATTCCCCGTGTAGAAGGGCAGCAGCTCTTTAAGCTGCCATGCATAGGAGTTAGACAAACATTTTGAAACAGAATCTTTGCTCTGAGTATGCAAACTCCTGCAGGCTGTGTGCTGTGCCACTCCTGCAGGCTGCGACAATCAGCGCCCTCTGCTCCGGAGGCCCCGGCTGCAGCAGCAGCAGGATCCACCCCGGGGCGCAGCAATTAAAGGCAAACATAAAAGCCCAAATACCTCTTGTCAAATTCCACCGAACCTCTGAAGCCTTCAGAAAACTTAGGGGAACGTCTGTGGCAAAGCAACACAATGTCCCCGTTATTGTAGATCAAAGGAGGGAGAGCTTGCCGGAGAAAGGATATTGATGTGAGGGTTTGACATTTCTTTCTTTGCAGTCAATTGGTGTAACAAATCCAAATTGCTGTATCAGAGTCATGCTGGAGATGTCTCTTGGAAAGATTCAGAGGGTATTTTAACCATGAAAGTTCCCTCTCAGCATCAGAAATAACCTAGAAATGTTTAATTCACAAGTAGTTAGCATTTAACTACTTAATCAACATTTAGGAATCAATTCTGACTTCCTTTCCTTCTTACTGTTTTCCTAATACATCCCAGGTGTATTTCTTAAGAATAAGCCAGAAAAAATCCAGAACACTTGAGACTGGTCAGAAAATAATGCAGAGGTAGGTAAGCATAGTGCAAGCCATTCAGAAACATTCCCACAAATTTTCTGCTGGTTTGTTAGGACCTTTTTAGCTGCTGTTGATAGTACTTGTAATCCAGATTTTACTTGTAGCTTGCTGGTCTGTCTGAATAACAGAAGTCTATGTTTTTTATATTCAACAGGTAGAAGGCCAGGAAAAAAACCCAAATGCTTTAATCTGTTTTATGACACTTTAGTGCTGCTACACAATTTTGATAAGATTTCACACCTGCTGAGTGCACTGTAGATTTTTATTTGCCTGATTTCAGTGGGGCACAGTAGTGAATCAAATGTTCAGAAAATGCTGCAGCATAGATAAAAATGTATTTTCTTAATAGGTGGAGTGCAAATTTAAAAAGAGGCACATATGGTCATTCTTCATATGCAGTGTCTCAAAATTGAATTAAACAGTTAAGATCTTGGGTCTGCAAACTCTTGAAGAATGGGACAATGCAGAAATTCATTTGGTTTACTCCTGTGAGACCATTCATAGAAGTAACATTTGCTCACCCAGTTGTTTCCTGCCATGCTCCATCTTCAGGAAATCGTCATCAATATTTATAAAAACCTAACGACATCAGAACGTCTGCACTGGTTCAGAGCTGGGCTCTGTCACAGTCACTTTTCTGCCTTTCTAGTGATCATGGCCTGACATCTAGGGAAAAGGAAGAATGGAAAAAATTCACAAAGGATTCCTTTAGAACCCTCTCACCCTTCACCTATCCCAAGCCTGATATCATCTGTCTAAATAATAACTTGAAGGGTTTTGGTCTTCCAAATATTTTTGCAGTCTGCTCTTAAAATCCTGGAAACATCTTGTCTTCCCAGCACATGGGACAGTCTGTTGAGTGAAATTCATCTCCTTTGGCTTGTCCTGAACCTGGTTCTGAGAGCATCTTGGTGTGGATCCTGAATTTGTTACCAGCACAGATGATGAACTGTCAATTCATGTCAATCCTGGCAGTGTTACTCTTTTTTTAATATCTTGTTCCTTCTCAGTTTTCTTTATTCCTAGCCTGGAAGCCATTCCATACTCTCATCAGTCATGTTGCAATGTTGCAATTTCTATTACATTTTTGGAAGGAAAGGAACCAGAATTTCACCATTCAAAGTATGGACAAAACATGAATTTAACCAGGGGTACAAAATTTTTGCTTCACCTGTTAATCTAGAGGCAGAACACATCATTTGCCACATCTCTTAAAAGCAGGAAAAAGTTAAATGATGTCAACAAATAAGTAATATTAGTTCAGTTCTAAAAATGAGGTGCCTTTTGAGGGTATTTGAAACAGTCCACCTCTGTTCCATACAGGCAACCACAGACTGTTCTGTATCCACACCCTTTCTGAGAAAGTTCTAGTTTATACTT